GCGGCGGCGGCGCTGCTGCTGCGGCGGCCGCACAGCCGGCAGGGCGAGCCGCGCTGCAGCTCGTGCGACGAGGGCAACGCGGCCAGCTCGCGCTGCCTCGACTGCCAGGAGCACCTGTGCGACAACTGCGTGCGGGCGCACCAGCGCGTGCGCCTCACCAAGGACCACTTCATCGAGCGCTTCGCCGCGGGCGCCGCCGCGCCGCTCGCGCTCAGCCCGCCCTACCCCGCCGCGCCCTACAACATCCTCTCCGTCTTCCCCGACCGCGCCAGCTACTGCCAGCACCACGACGACGAGGTGAGTGCGCGCGCGGGGAGCGGAGCGGAGCGCGGCGGCGCCAGGGGGCCCCGCACGGCAGCGGCCCGTAACGGCCGGCGGGGCGCCGCGCGGCCCCCTCTAACGGTCGCTAACGGCCGGTAACGGCCGCCGCGCGCAGCCGCCCGCGGGGAGGAGGCGGCGGCCGCGCTAGTGGCGGGACAGAGACCCGCGTGTGAGACCCGGGACGGGGAGAGCGCGGCGGCGGCGGGAGATGCTCCTTTCCTTTTTTTTTTTTCCTTCTCTTTTTTTCCGGTTTTTTTTTCCCTCTCTTATTTTGAGTCAGTAAATGAGCAAAGGGCTTTTTTTTTTCCTGTGTCCTTTCCATGTCTTTGTCGATTATATTTCCTGCTAACGCTTCAGCTACGTTTAAATTAAAGCTCTCATTTGTACCACAAAGATTCATTATTCCTTTTTTTTTTCTCTTCCCTCCCATAGTCTTTTTTTTTTTTTTTGATACGATTCTTGAGCGCTTTTTCTCGGACCTAAAAAGCGAGGCCGCGGCTTCGAAACGTGCTGGGGGGTCCGCGGTGTCCCTGGGCCGTCGCGGGGCTCCCCTGGAAGCCGGTTTCCCGCCGGTTTCCCTCCCAACCCCGGGCAGACCCCCCAAAACAGCCTGTTAGGTAGTTTCGTTCTCCGGTACCTTCGGTGCTGGGGCGCTTCGCTTCCAGTTTGTTGGGAAGAAAACTCTTCACAACGCGTTTGAGGGACAGGGGCCAAAGGTGGTGGCGGGGGAAATTCTCACAAGCAGCTGGACTGCTTATGGCCTTGGCTGCTCTAAGTATCTTTTTAGTGCAGCATCTTTCAAGTACATCCAGAAAAAGTGAACACTAGAATTAGGTCTGTCGTTCTTACTGCTAAGTGACTGCATCTCTCCCTTGATTATGGATTATAATTTTGATTATGGATTATGATTTTGGTACCGGTTAAGAAGCTTGTAGTTTGTGTGTTCCCTCTGTAGTCTGCTGTAAAACTTGCTTCTGAGGCTTGGCAATAGGTTGCTGGCTGTGTGACTTCTGTAAAAGCAACATATCTTGTTCAGTTGTTTTACATGAGTTTTTTTTTCAAAAGTGTGTATGGAAAGGGAAAATGTCTCTTTAAGATTAGCTTTGGGTGTCCTCTAAGTCTGGTTTTAAAAGTAGGCAGTTTTGCGCCTGCTCCCCTGTTGAGAAAAGATTTTTATTCAGCAAATTAATGATCTACAGTTATTTCCTGAGTGGTGAGTTTTGATGATTTCTTAGTCTGGGTTTACCCGATTAGTATTTGTAAGTTTTTATTATCAACTCGATGGGAAGCTCTTGGGAAGAACTCCTTGACGGTGCTTCTTGGGAACAGTTTCAGCCTTCCTAACTTTTGTTAAAAATTGGCAAGGTGTGCCATTTCTGGGGAAAGGGTGGCTGCAAAACAGTGAGGGTTATTGCTTGTTTAATTCTAAATGCTATTTACAGCCTCATAAAAGGAATGCTAATAGAAAGGCAGCCTTCCAAGAGAGTGCTTAAGTGATACACTAAATACTTACTTTGGCTGTCTGTCTAATGGTGTAAAAACAAACGTACAAGGCAGGGCTGGAATGGCAGCTTGAAACTTTAATTATAGTGGTTATAAATAAGCGGTGTTTCTCTTCCCCACAGAAGTGGGGGCAGAAAAAGCCGGTCTTTAATGGAGCAGGGAAGTCCCTCCATGTCTCCAAGGGGAGCTGGGGCACAGGCAGATCCAGCTGCAAATTGCTGCCATCGTACTTCTCAAATGCAGAGCTCGGCTTCCCCGGGAGATACTCTGGGCCCCCACCCCGTTCGAGATAAGCTTTGAGGAGCTCGACTCTGACCCTCGGGCTTCCTGCAGCTCTGGTAGCTTCCCTTTATTTTCTGCCTCTTCTCCGAGCACCCGGTACTCTGTCCTCCTAACATCTCTGCTTCACTTGGCACCTTTGGGCTCTTGCTGATCTCTGCTTTTCCTCTGGTCTCTGCTCCCTGCCCCTGGGGGAAGTCCTGGCCACTCTCTCCTGCTCCCCCCACTCCATTTCTAAGACTTCCACGGGTGAAAAAGACAAGCACTGTGAGTGGTTAGTTGCCGAGTATTTCAAGTCTCAAAACAAGTCGACAAATACGATTTGCAGATTGGCATAGCTCATCCTCCAGTGCAGAGAAATGAAGGTTTCGGCTCCTCAGCGGGATGTGTGGAGCTGTTTCTTTAGCTGCGCTGTTCTGAGCTGAGCGGTTGCCGCGTGACACAAGGTGAGCCTGCTGCGTGCTGAGCACATGCAGTTGCTGACAGCAGCAGCAGCTGATGCCCTCATGGCAAGCATTACAGAACATGCGACTCCAGGTGCTGTCTTCTGGGGGCATGATGTCCTCAAATACTACAGTGGTGTGTGAAAGGAGAGCAAGGCTTCCTGCAAAAGGCAAATACCTACCTATTTTTGCCATAGAGCTGCCTGTGAAACCTGGGTCAGCTGCTTACCTTTTGGGACCTTGCTGCCTGATGATGGGCTCTTCTCTTGGATGGGAAGAGAGCACCTCTGCCGCCTTCTTACAGAATTGTCAAGTAGACTGCAAGGCAAAGTAAATGCCTAGAAAGCACAGGAACTGCCGTGAGCTACTTACAGGTTGCATAGCTGAAACTATTGGAGTGATTTGAGTGACTTAGCTGTCATGAAATAATGTAGCGTTCCCTTCATGCAGACTCTCAGCTGCTCCATGCTTTGAGTTGATACCGCTTTTTGATAGCGGTGGTGGTGGTGCTCAATATGCTTCAATAGCAGACTTAGAGTCCTCTTCAGGAAAGAGTGTGGAGCTGCCAAAATCTCAGTGATGGCCTGTAGTCCCTTAGTGCGAGAAACTAAGGACTGTTGCCTCACAGGTTCCATTTTGCAGGTAATTCAAGGACCACAAGCAAAACCCTGTAACACAAAGGCTCACAGCCTGCAAGAAAGGACTTCTGGGTTCTTCCTCTCTTTACTCTTTGCAACACTTCCCCTTTGGTTGCCTCAGTTCTGGCTTGGGTCAGGTTCTCTAATGCTCCAGTTGGCTCACCACTCATTAAGGAGTTTTGTGTCAGTGAGTGGAATTGGCTCGTGGGACTATCAGTGTTAATGGGATGGAATGACACAGGATGCTGTTGGTTTCATATCTTAGCTGTGCCAGTTCAGTTTCTGGGCGTGGAAATGAAGGTCCTACCCTTGGGCTAGTGCATACTAGAGATGGTTTGTGTGAAAGCTCCACCTTTTTTTCCTCTTTTTATATTTTGTTGGAAAATATTTAGAATCATACTCCAAGTTATTGCTGAAAAGGAAGGAATGGACTTGCTGAACCATGATTTTTTTTTTAAGAGTGACTGTTTCAGGCTACTTTGAATTCTTGTTGCATATATTCAACTTGCTGTCTCATTTGTAATCTAAAAATCACACTTTGTCATATGACTGGAGATGATTTGTGAAAGCTGTGTGTGTATAAAGGATATAACTACCACAAATGAAGGTTCCTAATCTAGTCCCTTGGCTAAGTTTGCTGATTAAATTTGAGCCTAAGCTACTGTAGGGGGTGAAGGTTTGGGCTCACAATGCAAGAGGGCTGTCTTAGCACCTCATGGCTGCTGAAAGGGAGGAAGGGATCTTTCTTCCTGTGCTCTCAGATGCTCTTCTGAGCCAGCTTAACTGACTAACCTGGAAGAAAACTTCTTACCCTCACCACCTTTCCAGTTGATAAATTGAATCAAATCTGGCCAAAATAGAACTTATGAGGGAAAAGATAGGAGAGTGTGCCTAGGAGGGAGGCCTGCGTGGTAGCTGTGGTGTCCCTCTGCAGTGTGCCTTGTCCTTGCTGCCAAAAGCCTGGCTTTGCCCCCATGGTGTTTGCATGGTCTGCCTGAAAGTCTCACCACGACTGGCTGGCAAGAGGGGCAGGTGTCCTTGTCAGCACTTGTCTGTTGTGCTGAGAGGGGTTGTTCATGGTAACTGCGTTGTGCACCATCTTGCTGCTTTTTTGCTTCTAATGCTTTGATTTTTTTTTTCCCTCTGAATTAAATTATTACGATCTTTAGGAGTGCATCCCACAGGCTCCAGTCCTAGTATGCAACACTTAACTGTGTTGCAGCTGCTGTGGCTGCTGTAGCTTCACCTCTGTGGGAAAACCCATACACCGTCCAGATCAATGTGTATTTCCAGTATACCTGAGAAGTTTTTTGTACTTTGTCAGTATTTATACTTTGGCAGTATTATATTACTTATACATTGTTGGTTATAGTGTACACACTTTAACTGTGTACAGATGCACCTTTCATGTGTCTTACTTAACATGCCTTTCCTTTCCAATATCATAGTGCATGTGCGATTTCCAGTTGGAAAACAAAACCTTACATTTAAATATTGTCACCTTTTTTGTGTCATCTGAATGATGGAGGGCTTTAATCTATTTTAAGATAATTTGCTATACCCTGTAGACTGCCCTGCAGTGCTTTCTTCCCTGATGCCTCATTCCCTAGCATGCCATTGTAACTCCTGTTGCTTTCCTGGATGTGAAGGCACAATCCTAAACTGCTTCTGTTTGCTGTGTGAGGCAGCACACAGGTTTTATGGGTCTTGAAACTGAATTTTAATGCCACGCTGGACAGAACCAAGCCTTCCTTCCTGCCAGCCCCAGCTCTGACATTGACGTTCAGACATTCTCAATGCTGTGGGGGAAATACCACTAGAAGAGGCTTTGCTATAATCAGATATCAATACCAACTGGCTTAATTAACCAGGAATACAGACCATAGCCATTAAGAAAATGCTGGAATAAACAAAAACCTTGCTTGTTAAGGTGGTGTTTTCTTACGGTCTCTTTTACCTAGGAAACACTTTGTACTGTTCTGTTCACTTCTGAAATTTATATACTGACTACAGTCAGAAATGTATATATTGACTACTATTTTTGAAATAGTAATGACTTGCCTTTCTTACTACTTCAGCTTTGCCAGTACTGTAATGTTGAGATATGCCACAT